TGATGTTATGTCAAACCCACTCTAGACAAACACCACCTTGGAAATAAAGTATTTATGTGAAGTAAATTGCCTTTTCCAGGACCATAAAGGATTGAGCATGTCTGCAGTAACCATTTGTCTGACATGACTGACATCTCAACAACTACCAGGACTACAGGTTTTAACTGTATATGTCTATGCCTTTTTTTTAAAATTAAATACAAACACTCCCTTAGAAACACCAGTGACAGAATGTTTACAGAAAGCCTTTAAAAATCATTGGGATGTGACTCTATTTTTTTTCTCCTTCCTCTTACAGAGATAAAATACATCATCAGTTAGGAAAATAACAATAGACTTAGACCAGGGGCGGACTTTAAAGGCCATCTATTCCTAGCCTCTTGGTTTGTAAATGAGGAAACAGAGTCCCATAAAGGTGAAGCGGCATGCCCCAAGTCATATATGTAACGTGACAGAGAGGAGAGCTGAACCCAGCTCCTCTAACTTCAAATACTATGCTTTTTCCATTGAATGATTTTATTTATTCATAAAATTATCATGGTACCGTATTTGGAGATAGAAATGCCTTGGAAGACAAGAAAAATTAAGGAAAATATTTTAAAATATTTATGTATTTATTTGTTAATTGATTCATTTATTTACTTCACTGATTTATTTACTTGTTTGCTTATTTGCCAATTTATATTCCTGACACCAAAACTTATCAGGAGGAAACTTGGGAGTACAGTTACCTGGTTCTTGATCTCAAATAGAGAAAAACACTGGGAAAGACCTTTTTAAAAGATTTAATGCTTCTTTTTATATCATTGTTACTAGCAATACTTCCCCTCCCCAAAGAACTCCTCCCTTGAAACAAATCAGTTTATTGACTATGACCGAGGACACATGCCTTAAACCACAGCTAGACTCCCTCTCTGCCCAGAGGAAAAGCTGGGGCTCCTCACCAGTTCTTTGTAACCTAGAGGAGGCACTGATCTGAGCTCTCCTATTCTTTAGTGCTGCAGTCTTTCACATTATCATAATCCTTCTACATATGGCTCTACTTCATTCTCTCTCAGAATCCTTCATATTCCCATTGCCCTATATGCAAAGATAATTCATTACATTCACTAGACATTCTTCAGTCTTTCCCCAGTCAATTGGTATTACTTTATTCCCAGTTCATTTGGTTGGTTGGAGTTTTTTGTCATTGTTTTTCGAAGGGGGATAATAAATCAAAACAAATAATAAGTAAAACACTTTTTTTCTCCCCAATTTTTTTCACTTTTTCCCCCAGGTGAAAAAAACAAGCATTTATTAAGCACCTACTATATGTCAGGCACTATGCTAAATTCTTTATAAATATTATCTTATTTGATCCTCACAAAAACCCTATGAGGTAGGTGCTACTATTATCCCTACTTTACAGTTGAGGAGACTGAGGCAGATAGAAATTAAGTGACTTGCTCAGAGTCACACAGTTAGTAAATGTCTGTGACTAGATTTGAATTCAAGTCTTCCTCACTCTAGGCCCAGCAATTTATTCACTGTGCCACCTACCTGCCTCACATCTCTAAAACTGATGTAACCTGAGAACCTGGCTCATATCAGATAAGACATATAAAGCTCATATCAGAAAAGACAGCTAAAGCTCTAATTAAGTAATTGCTATATTCCTGGCACTGTGCTAAGCACTGGGAATATAAATAGAAGCCAAAAGAATGACAGTCCCTACTCTCAATGGGTCTGCATACTAATAAAGGAGGATTTTAAAAAGAAGGAGGATGTTGGAATGGATGCATTGCAGAATAAGATGGATGTGGAAAAGTAGTCCAGGAAATCATGAACTGGCCTGGGTTTGAGGTGAGTATGACTATGGTGGGTATTTCCTCAAATGGAGGTTCTAGAGAAGGTTGTGGTTTATCCTTCATTCTTGAAGAGGACCATGACATCAGGAAGGTGATGCCATGACTTGTAAGTGAATTGGATCTAAGTGAGGGAGGGCTGTGCAAAGTCACCAGCCTCACTTTCTCCTCCAGAGCAATCTGGGTCCAGTGGCAAGATATAGGGCTGCTAGGCAGCACAGTGGATAGAGCACTGGACTTAGAATCAGGAACACTAGGGAGGAACTCATCAACTGGAGGCCATAGGAATGTAGGCGTTGCCAATGTGAGGAGGCCACAAGGCAGAGATAAAGAGGAAGTCTGGGGAGTCCTGGGCCATGTTTGAAGGGAAGACCACCCCATTCCTGAGACACTTTTCTCTAAAATAATAAAAATAACAATAACAATAATAATATACCTGTTTCTAGAGAGCTTTAAGGTTTATAAAGCACTTTCCTTACATCTTCTTGAGGTAAGTTGTACAATTATTATCATTATTTCTAATTTATAGGTGTGAAAACTGGTGGACAGATATGATTTGCTTGTCCAGGGTCACACAAGTGATAAATGCTATAAATGGAACTCTAACTTAGACTCTCACTCCAAGATTGACGCTCTTCCCACTGAACCAGGTAATGCTTCCACTTACAGACTTTAATATAGAAGAATCTTTCTTTAAAAATGCATAGATCCTGTGGCACTAGATCTACCCTTTTTAACCTATTAACTTTTTAGCTCTTCCCTATATTTCTATGTGCAGAAGTAACTAGGATGAATGAACCCATCTCTTTTTTGGCTTCTAGACAACTTCTCAATGTTTCTCCATAACTACAGAGATTTGGAAAACATACTAAGAAAATATCATTTCTTTGATAAAATGTTAGCAACAACCATTTCTCTGTGCCCAAGAAATATTCTGTGAATCAAGTCATTATTATGGGAACTTTCCTTAATAGGGAATAAATATGATTCTCTCGGCAAATAAAGTGGTTTTTAAAAACAAGGTTAAAAAGATGACAAAAGATGAAAATATCATGGTTGGAAATGCTGTGGGGAAAACAGATACACAAATACACAATGAATTGTCCCAACCATTCTAGAAAACAATTTGGAATCATTGATTCATAACCTTTATCCCTAAGATGCCAGTACTCTTCATGTGCCCCAGGAAAGTCAAAGATAGAAAAAAAGGTTCTTGCTAATACTATACTGGCCGCACGCTGACCCTCTGCCAGTCGTGCGCCAGTACCCACTTCTCTTAAAAGAAGTGCACCGCCAGAGTCTTACCCATTCCCGGGTCTTCGGTCCTCAGCCGGATCACCACACAGAGACAAGCCATGGGAAGGCACCAACACCAGAGTTTTATTCAGAGGCCAACACAGCAAACCATCATAGCAAGCCCAAGCAGCAAGGCCAGAGCAACAGAGCAGGAGCCAGGGGAGAGCGCACGTGTGTTCTGACCACGCTTGTTCCTAAGTACCTACTTAGCCCCTCCTCCCCAGCCTGCTACTAGCCAATGATTGTAGGGTCAGATACCGGAAGGGGCTGTCTGAGTTTAGCACACCAAGGGGGAGGGAGTGACGTAGGAGGCCAGGATTGGATACAGGAAGGAGGCATCTGGGATTGACGCATAGACAAGAGTACGTGACCTAGGAAGTCAGACTCAGGAGGGGACTGGGTCAGTGCTGCACAAGGTCAGGAAGGTCACAAGAGGCATCTGGGGATGACGTTGCATATAGGGAGGGGACTAAGCAGAGGGAACTCAGTCCTCTGCCATCCCACTCCCACGTGGCACCGCCCCTTGCCTCAGGAGCTCAGGCTCGGCTACTTCCTTGCACCCAGCTTATGTCACAGAGCACTGCCCAATTGCCTCATGGCTTCTCCGTATCCAGCCCATCCCAGTACACACGACTCTGCCTACCACAGTCCCTGCCTCGACTTCCAAAATACCCAGATCTTACCTTACCCATGCCACAGCACCCAACTGGCAGCTGCCAACATCAGACAGTCCCTCACATAATACACTAATGTGAATTGATCCAATCATTCTGGAAAGAAATTTGCAATCATGTTGAGAAAGTGCCTAAAGCTTCATATCCTTTGAGTTGGAAATCCCACTGTTAGGACAAGGAGATCTATGATAGGAAGGTCCCATAAACACCACAATTATTTCTAGCAGTGATTTTTTGGTGGTAACAAAGAACTAGAAACAAAGTAGATGCCCATTGATTGGAAAATGGCTCAACAAATGTGAAAGATGAATGTAGTAGAATAATACAACATTATAGAAATTATTTATGTGTAGAATTTGGATAAGGACAGGAAAACATATGAAGCAAAGCCAAAGGAGGAAAAGAATATACACACTGATTACAACAATACAAATGGAAAGAACAAAAAATGTAACTGGACATTAATTATACTGACCAAGCTTGGCCCCAGAGAAAAGATGAGTAAATACACTTACCTCCCTTCTTTGAAGAGGTGGGGAGCTATGGCTGTGGAGCATTATACATTTACAATGTACATGTACATTGTACATGCACAATTGATGAGCAATTACTTTTTTGGAATTACTCTTTTAAATAATTTGTTACATGGGATGGATCACCAGTAGTAAAAAAGAAAGAAGAATATAGTCAGAAATGTAGGTGTTTTAAAAACAGAAGGTACCAATAAAACAGTGCAAAAAAAGTCATTTCTAAAAATATGTTCCAAAATATTCATAGTCATGCTTCTTGTATTGAAAAAAAAAACCTGGAAATAGTCATCAAGTAGTTTTATCTCCTGATCAACTAGAGAAAAAGTATATACTATGGTGGGATCTCATAGAAACTTTTCTTTTTTTATAGCTGTCAACCCATACCGATCCTTTACCTTGGGTTATCATAGGAACTCCAGATGTGAAAAGAAGGCTACAGAGGTGCTACACATTTATTTACCCCTGGGCTTGTATTCTAAGCCTTCCTACCCCAGTGGGACATGTTAACTTTGTCATAGTCCTCAAGAACTCAGCATCACCTCTGAGCCACAGTAACCCATCACAAGAGGATGTTAGCAGAGGTTGTCTTTCTTCATATTCATTTTAAATTCCTAAATCACAGACTCAGCAACCAAATTGTTTTGTCTAGAACTTACCTGCAGTGTGTTATCTCCTCATCTTCCTGAACCAAAAATTTCTGGCATTAGCTGTGAAGGGTAACTTGGAAACTCTGTCATGGTGTGGACGAATTTGGCTGCAATGTCAGAGGTCACATTCAATGCAGATCTTCAGGAAAGCATTTGACCCAAAGTCCATGTGGCTGGATAGAGCCAGTGATATTTTTCTTTGATTGGGAAGCATTACAAGATTCTAGAATGTGTCCATAAACTAATTACTGTGGTCCTGCTACAATAATTACTGTATTTGGCAATTTATAATTACAAAGCAATTCATTTATAATTGAGTTCCACATTCCCGGTGATAGCTATCCTTGCTTCCAAACTGAAAATTCATCACAACAATTATGTTTTTCATTATCATTATGAAAATGTGTACCTCAGTTACACATATTTATGATGGAGCCAATTTGGATGGACGTTCCAATGTTTTAGCTGTCATTTTTGCTCTCTAGTCTTTTTTAGTTGCATCATCCGTTAGACAGAGAACCAATATATCCTTCACTCATTCTTATTTGACATAGATTCGTAGAGTCATATAGTGCCAGTGACGGGTGAGACCTTAGAGATCCATTAGCTGAAAGGCAGAAAACAAAAGAGATAGTGAGGGTGAGAAAAGGAGGGAGGCACTGAAAAGAAACTGGCCACATGTTATTTCCTAAGACTGTCTCAAATATTCTATTGATGAAAAGCTTAGTTGAAATATTTTTTCTTTAGCTTATATTAAATTTCTGCTGATAATACATTGTGTAGAAAAGTTGTATAAAACCATTATTTCAACTTGAAGGTTATAGAACTCAGCTTAGGGGATTCCTTAGGGAGTGTAGGATATGGTCAAACCCAGAAGTCAAGACATTGACCATTCACAGTGAGTCACTTCATTCAACTTGGGACAAGGACATCTAACCTATCCTTTAAATGCCAGGAGAACTGCCAAGTCCCAGGGGCTCTCCAGAGGCAGAGGAGACTGAGACTTACAGAATTATGAAGCTGGAAAGAGTACCTAGAGATCATCTAGTACAACTCTCTGACCAATAGATGAATCCCTTTGACAAATGATCACATAGCTATTTGAACATGACCAGTGGGAAAAACTCATTCTTTACCATGGTAAGTCATTCTATTTGGGGGCAGCACTAATAAAAAAGGAAATTATCCTTATATTTTGCTAAAATCCTTTTCTCTTCAACTTCTATCCATTAGTCATAGGATCATAGAGCTAGAAGAGGTGTCAGGGGTCACTTTCACCCACCTACATCCTGCTGTTTTACACATGAGGAAGGTAAAGCCCAGAAAGGTTAAATTACTTGCTTGGTGTTGGACAACAAAGGTCTCAGGCAGCATCCAAACCAGGTCATCTTGATTTCAAGGCCAATTCTCTATTGACTATACCCTACCACCTTTCCTAGTTGTTCCCTTGTTTGGCATTCAAAATCCTTCATCATTTGTCCCCATCTCCAACCTTTCCAGTCTTCTTACACCTTATACTCTCCATTATGTACTCTACCATGTAGTGACACTGATCTACTTGCTCTTTAAACAAAAAACTATATCTCCCAACTCTGGGCATTTTCACTTACATAATGCCATGCCTGGAATACTCTTCTTCCTTGTCTCTGCCTCCTGGATTTCTTCCAATCCCAGCTAAAAATCTCACCTTATAAAAGGAGCCTTTCCCAATCCTCTTAATTTTAGTGCCTTTCCTCTGTTGATTATTTTCAATTTATTCTGTATGTAAATTGTTTGTACATCGTTGTTTGGATGTTGTCCCTCCCATTAGACTGCGAGCTTCTTGAGAGCAGGGATTGTCTTTTGCCCTTTTTTATCCCCAGTGCTTAGCTCAGTGGCTGGCACATAGTTGGCACTTAAAAAATGCTTATTGACTGACTGACTGTTAGAGAGCCAAGCTCAATAAGTATAATCCTTTTTTCAAATGGTTACCTGTAAATTATTTGAAAACCTGTGATGACTCTGGCTTTTATCTATAGTAGGTCATGTCTACTGAGTACCCCAATCCTACACTCCTATATCCCTTAATATGCTTTGAGGGAAAAGGGCCTCATGTGGTCCCCAGATGATGTAGGAATTTACTAAAATACACTACTCCCCAACATCCAGTAAGGCTTTAGCATCCTTAGGATAACTCCAGGAATATGAGTGCCCAAGAAATAGCTTTAAGCCATCTTGATGGAGGCACAAGAATTAAGATTGAGTTTACTGCATGACTGAGCCAGGATTTGAATTCCCGTGGGGATCAGGGCAGCATTTCTTCCTCAGTGATAGGGGGTGATGTAGAAATGGACAATTGTTTTCCAGTTGATATAGAAAAAAATGTGATGATAATAACTCAGAAAAGAACAGGGAAAGGAAAAAACAAAATTACAAATTAAAGTCACTTCTTCTTTGGCAGTGGATTCCTTCAAGGAAGCACCTTCTAGGAAAAGACTGTATCTTCTTAGCTTTTGATAGTCCCTAGTGCCTAGCACAGTGCATTTCCTAGAGTAAGTTCTTAAGTGTTTGTCAGATGAATGAATGGGAAGTGGCTTTATTCATGAGAATGTTCTTATCATAGATACATGGACGATGAAAAGGAAGAAAGTTAAAGAGGGAAGAAAACAAGACTTTGGATTTGAGGGTAGAAATAAGAGTATTTATAGTTCTTTAGGATGGCAGCCGCAAGGCACAAGACTGAACCAAAGGACAGGACTGGAGAAAAGAAGTGAATAAATAAGAAGTGACATTTACATCACGTTTTAAAGCTTACAAAGCATGAGCCTCCACATGGACCCCTTTATTGGAGTAGCTTAAGAACTGTCTTCTTTAAGCCCACAAGAAGACAACATCTAGTGACACGTAGTGTTAATTATCCAGCAAGGAAATTTATTTAGCTAAGTATATCTGATTTACCCACTAAGTGGCACTGTAGTTGGGGCACTACCCCAAGATTTGTCATGTACTTTCTGGTGTGTGGAAGGAGGAATAGCCTTTTCATAAGAGGTTTTAATATTTCTAAAGGATATTAGTCCACAGATGGCTTGGTTGCCTCATCCCCTACTCCCTAGGCCAAGCAATTATTGTACTGTTGTTGTTTGTCCTTTGTTCTTGAAGAGGACCAAAGACATCATGAGAGTGATGTCATGACTTGCAAGTGAATTGAAATTTAAATGAGGCAGAGATGTGCAAAGTCATCAGCTTCACTCTCTTCTCCAGAGTCATCAGAGCCCAGTGACAAGCATAGGTCAGAACAACTGGCAATGGCTCTGGATGCAATGAAAGACATTCAAGCTAAGATCTTTCCCAGGTCTCCACTGAGGCAACACCCATTCCAGGAATAAAGACTAGGTAGGAATTGAGGCAAAAGGTGGCCTAGTTCGCGTTTACAAAAGAATCAATCTGGGAAGGGAAGACCCTCAGTTTCTGGCCAGAACAGAAACAATCACTATTAACATTCACTCTGAGCCATCAAAACCCAAACAATGAGCAAGCAAGACTTGGGCTGAGACCTATTATTCACCAATCCCAGAGAGACAGAGTGATTTGGTTTTGAAGTACAGTCAAGTAGCTCCATTTGAATATTTATGGGCTTTATCAAAACCTCATTTTTCAGAGCTATATTTCAAGAAATCCTTTTACTTCACTGCCCAAGTTCCAGTTTTACCTAGGATACAAAATGGGCTATTGTTCTACATATTAAATATTAAATATTTTATTTACAATCAGCTAAGAGCCCTCATCTCTTGTAGTATTTCACTTTCTCAGGTCACTGACTTCCGTATGCATTCATACATTCAAATGACTAAGCATGTTGTAATCACATATATGCATACATACCTTATCATGTCTTCCCCTTTCCTAGATCTTCTGCATAGATGGGTAACACTCTCCATTTTGAATAATAAGGTCAAAGAAAGGGAGAGTGCCACAAAAGATAGAGTCCATTTATCTTATTGAGTGACCTCTCCCTTTTGCCAACACAAGATTCACTCTGACTCCAGAGGAGGGGAGAAGAGTTCTTAACTTTTTTTCTATGCTAGGATCATCAGGAATTGCTCTGTTCCACCTCCGCTCCTCACACCATCATTGTTTCAGCCCTGGACAGGCAGAGACAAAATGCTATTTTTTGTTGTTTAGTTGTTTTTCAGTTGTGTTGGACTCTTGTGACTCCTCTGGGAGTTTTCTTGGCAAAGATACTAGAATAGTTTGCCATTTCCTTCTCCAGCTCATTTTACAGATGAGGAAACTGAGGTAAACAGGGTTAAATAACTTGCCCAGGGTCACAGAGGTAGTGTCTGAGGCTGGATTTGAACTCAGGAAAAAGGAGTCTTCCTGACTCCTGACCTAGAATTCTATCTGCTGTGCCACCTAGCTGTGGCAGAGAATTATACATACATTATCTCAATGAGCCTCACAATATTCTAAGAAGCAGGTACTGTAGATATTATGATCTTCATTTTATGTTTAGAAAAACTAAGATCCAGAACTAATTAGTAACACTGCTAGCAGGAGACCAGTTTCTCTTGACTCTGAGTCCAGTACTCTAGCGAGACTGCCTTTATAAAGCAACCACTGGCTCTTAAGTCCTAGGAAAGGACTTTGGAGAGAGCCAATGGAAAGAAACCATAATGACCCTGTGTGTTAGAATGACCTCCCTACTCTCTTAATCTGTCAAAATCCTCCCCATCCTGACTTGGTGGCAAAGTTCAGGTACTGACTCTAGTATGAATCCTTCTTACTTCCCCCAAATCAGAGGTGATTGCCTCTGCCCTAGCTCTCACGGTATTTGATTTATTCTTCCCTCATGGGACTCATTACTTTTTTTGCTATATATGTTTATTTGTGCACAAGCTTTACCTCCCCAACTAAAATGTCCTCAGCAGTGACAGGTCAATGTGGGTGGATTTGATTTTTGAAAATTGCCAAAAGTCATTTATAGGGCCAACTTTGACTAATAAGGAGTGTGACAATACAGTGTGATAACGTATTGGTTGCTGTTGCTTGGTTGTTTTTGAAGAGAATAGGACTATGAGAGGTAAAGCCAAGTTCCACAAGAGGAAAAACAACCTAATACTCAAGGATGCCCAGAAATGGAAAGAGGTGCCTTGAGTTCCTCTTTTTTATCTTTTTTTTTTTTTGCAAGGCAATTGGGGTCAAGTGACTTGTTCAGGGTCACATATCTAATAAGTGTCATGTGTCTGAGGCTGGATTTGAACTCAGATCCTCCTGACTCCAGGACTGGTGCCCTATCAACTGCACCATCTAGCTGCCCCTTGGGTCTCTCTTGAGTGGAAGCTTTTAAGCAGGGTTTGCATGAGCATTTGTCAGGGACATGGTAGAGGTGATTTCTGTTGAGGTAGGGGTGAGAACAGTTTACCTCTGATCTCTCTTCCAGCTCCAACTCTGTGACTGTAAGCTCCAAAATATGTCATTTCTTCTTCCCTACCTTAGTGTCTCTCCTAAATACCTAGCATAGGGCCTTCATGATAGGTGTTCAATGAATGTATGAATGACTGGATAAATGAATAAATGGAAAGTGAAGAAATGACCTGCAAATAGGCAAGTCACTTTCTTTTTTCCCCC